ACAATGATGAACGAACGGGCCCATAGATTGGCGCGTCGATTCTGAGTGGAAGCGCATCTGCTCTTCTTTTTTCCACGGCCGATGTGTGGGCCAAGTACTGGTGGTTTAAACTGCCCCCGCTACCCCTGCTGTGTGACCAAGAAAACTCGCAGTTTTGGTACTCCACAGGCCCCAACTGAGCTCGTAAAACAGGGCCCGAGGTCCCAACCGGGCTTGTAAAACAGGCCCTGAGGTCCCAACCGGGCTCGTAAAACAGGGCCCGAGGTCCCAACCGGGCTCGTAAAACAGGGCCCGAGGTCCCAACCAGGCCCCGAGGTCCCAACCGGGCTCGCAAAACAGGCCCTGAGCAGGTTCGGAGGGGGCTGTCCTTGGTGATCCACAGGCCCCAACCGGGAGTGTAAAACAGGCTCCAAGCAGGTTCGGTGGGGATGCAAATTGAGAACGGTCCATGGGTCAGGTTTGGTTGGAACATCGGCCCAGCCTGGGGCTGGGCCCGACAACAAAAGATGGGTATGTGGTTTAGAGTTGGAACGATAAAGAGAAAGAAGATTAGCATGGCCCCCTGTGCAAGGAAAAAAACGTGCACAGATCAAGAAATGGTCCAAAAAAGGAAAAGGAGAAGGGAAAAAGGAAGAAAAGAGCAAACAACAAAACTAGGGTGGAAAAAAAAAAAACTAGGGTGGTTTAAAATTGGAACATGGGTGGCGGTTTAAAATTGGGAAATGATACTGTGGACGAAGATTTAGCATGGCCCTTGCATAAGGATGTCACACAAACTGAGAAATGGTCCAAATAAATTGTTGCATGTAGGAAATAAATTCAAATAATCTCCTTCTGCCGGGGCATACTCATGCATATCTTAAATGTATCTGACCGCATTTACAGCCCTCGCTGTCTGAATCTGGTCGCAATTCTGTCCAGAAATAAGTAAGAAAATGCGATTGTGAGTATGCCCTCAGTCAGACAGATAGGTTCACAGTGTTTGCCTTGTCTTTCGACGTCGATGCTGTCTCTCACATATGGTCACCGGTGTCTCTTTAGATGGCACACACATTCAGTGTGTGTGCATGCAAGAGAGAGAGAGAGAGAGAGAGAGAGAGAGAGAGAGAGAGAGAGAGAGA